TGCCCCGTTACCATAACAACAAAGAATTTAGATTTCAGGGCGCAAGGATGAAGTAAATATGTGCCAATAAGACGGTGAGGAACTTTGATTCGGAAAGTGTCAGATTACAAACTATGTTCTAATAGTAGCATGAGAAAAAAAGAACAGCATAACATACAAATCGAAAAATAAAGCTAGAGTGAGCCTAAAATGGGCTGAAACTGCTTATAGCTTGGGGCAAATGAGATGACAAAGCGTAATTTTTCTTTAAGGCAGTTACCTCGTTCAAAATGTTCTTTTTCGCACGAATTGTCATTTATCCCGACTGTTTGAGAAATAATTTAAGGGGATTATTCACAGGAAAGCGCGCTTTCATGCGTATAGATCAAATATTGCCGTTAGACGTCACAAATTAGCAATAAAATAAATAGTAGAAATGGCAACAGATCACTCGTCACTCGCGATAATGCCTGCATGATGGAGTATGTGATGAGACTTCTGGATGATAGAACGTTATCCTGGTCAAATTTGACTACCATTCCTTAAGAGTACTAGGCCATTTTCATCGATGATTTGCACTACTTTAAACCAATTAAGTAGTAATATATCTCCAATTCTAACTCTCACTTAAAAAGTGTCGACAGGTTGCGTGAAACGTAACTACTTGTAAGTTCCAATAGGGTTATCGATTTAAGATGCTGCTCTACCGCGCTGTTCCTCAATAAAAATGCATACCGGCATCAGGAAGTCTTGGATGCAATGGATCAGACTGTGTTGAGAAGGCAACCCTAAAGGGTGGCGGGCACTTGGACTTGGAGATAAAGCAGGGTGACGGGCTGAAATGACATCAAAAGCGTCTGCAAACTGTATCCACAAGGCCTGAACGAATTCACGCCAGACCAGGTGGGTATGGGTGTGATCTGCAGCTTTTCAGGCGATAGCTGACAATTGTATGTGTCCGTGTGCGCCTACCTGCAGATGCGCTTATCGTGGGTGTTGGCTGCTTTATGGACTTAGTTTCCAGCAATCGCATGAGTTTCATTACTATGGCTTTTCTTGCGCCTGTGTAAATGCGCGTTGCTATGCCTCTTTTGCATATATTTATTCGCATGCACAAGCCAAACATTTATATTCATATATATATATATATATATATATAATATTGTATTTAATTTTATATAAAAATATATATTCATATATGAATATATATTTTACATTATATATATTCAATTTAATTATAAATAAATAAATAAGTATTAAATATCAAACGATATATATATATATATATACTAAAATATATAATATATATTCTATTCTCTTCTAAATAAATATATATATATAGATACATATGTTTATATGAATATATATTGTACATTATATATATCCTATTTAATTATAAATAAATAAATAAGTATGAAATATTAAACGAAATATATAAACAAATATATACTAAAATATATATTATATATTATATTATTTTCTATATATATATATATTTATATATATATGTATATATGATTATATATTGTACATTATATATATTGTATTAAATTATAAATAAATAAATAAATAAATAAATAAATATATATATATATAATACAAAACTATATATATGTATATATACTGTACTATTTGGCGTGTGTATAGGAATAAATAAATAAGTGATAAAATATATGTGCTTGTAGGGGCCCTTCGTTTTGCAAAATCTGGTTGCAGTCATGACCCCCATGTCTGCAGTGTACAGGATCCTACCTCTGTCCTCTTCATTGTCTCTAGTCTCAGCCGTGATAGTTATCAATCCGGACCTCGCGTCGGAACAGCTTCATAAGCATTCCGTTGTCTCGTGCCGGCCTGCTACGGCCCAAAGCTGTCGCAAAAGTGGCCAACGTTTGCAGAAGCGCTGACTTTGGCTCTTCTGCCTTGGCAGTCGGGCTTGATGAGTCGGAAAAGTCGGTCCCGTGGTTGTCCGCTTTCACACAACATTCGCAGACACAGTCTGGGACAACTGGTTGGCACGAGTTGTGCGCTTGAAGGCAGCGCCGTCGACAGAGTCCAGTCAGCACAGACTCGAATCTCTTCTGGCCTGCTCGGTGGAAAAGTGGCCAGACAATCCACTTATGCCACAACTGGAACGACGAAGCCATTCCTAACGGAAGTAACACATTTCCCGATTCGAAATCACATTCGTCGTTGTGAAGTGAGTTCTGATCCCCGATGAAACATAAATGATTCTATCTAGTCTGAGAGCACGCTCACTTAATACGACCCTGATGAAATATTAGGGCAGCTCGGGCAACAACAGGTTTCGTGTAATTTTAGGAGATTAAGGCAAATGGCTGTATCGAAACGAAAATCCACAGACATAGTGTGATGAGCTCGATCTATGAATCTCTTCATTATCCCCAATAATATGAAACAATACCGAGTTTGAAG